AATAATAGCTCTTAAAAAAAGTTTCACTCCAACATTCTTCAGGTGACTCTGAAGATAAGATGAGGAACACTAAGAAGTATTTGCATCCTTCTAGCAGTATCCAGTCTCAATATAAATTTGGTATAGTCTATCCATTCCCGGCAATAAAAATAAGAGTACAGTCATAAACATTTATTGCCTGTGGTCCCTAGTCGCCCAGATAGTTAGTAAACGTGCTATCAAATGTAGTTGAGGAATGAAGGCTCGGCTAGCTGGACTGGCTGAATACTAATTTTTTGTCAGTTTCACAATATTTATTTATCAGTTCCGTGTGTTCGTGGGGTGAGGTGAGGTGGTGAGTAGTTTTGCAAACTGAGTTTTGAAAACTTTTTCCAGAGATCAATTACTCTAACACCAAACTGATATTTTTGCACTCGACGCCCGTTTCGCTAACAAGGTTAGCATCTTCAGGAGAAGCAAATTAATACTGAATCTAAGGACAAGGATTAGCTGTTTATGAACCTAAAGTTTTTTGGGTCGATGTGAATTTTGTTTGTCAAATGATGATTATCCTAATTGATTTTTCGGTAATTAACTAGTGGAACCACTACCTGCAAATTAATTTGTTAACAATAGATCAAAAAGCGGACAAATTAATTTGCAGGTAGTGGTTCCACTAGTTAATTACCGAGTAATTAATTAGGATAATCATCATTCATCGGACCGAAAAACTTTAGGCATATAAACAGCTAACCCTTGTCTTTAGATTCAGTATAAATTTGGTTCTCCTGAAGATGCTAATATCAGGTTGGTGTTAGGGTAATTGATCTCTAGAAAAAGTTTTCAANAGGAGGAAAAACGGATAAAATATCGAGATTTTCTCTTCGAACTCCGCAGACTCTATTCAGATCACTCTGTCAAGATGGTTGTTCTGATTATTGGAGTCCTTGGTGAAATGATGTCCTCTCTACCCTCGAATCTTGAAATCATACCTGCTTGCCGCACTAAGGCAGACATCTCAGCCGCACAGATGCAGTAGGCTGTCATTCTTGGCTCACTGCGCTTGCTCAGGGCACATGATTTTCGGACCCAATGATCACTTACTCCACGGTGTGGGGAGTGGTCATCGGTTGATAATGCTGGCGCGCCCTCCTGAATGTATCGGGGCTTCGGGGGATAAGGCCTGACCAGCGCACACCACGGTAAAAAAAATAATATCTTCTTATTATCTTGTAATACATTTGAAGCAAATTATTCAGGAACAGTTCATTTATTATATGAAGATAAAAGGCGATGTTCAATTTACATGATAACACGTCATCATTCAATTGCTCTTCCACTTAACCTCATCTTCCACTTAACCTCACAATGAATCTAATGAAAATACTTCTTCCATATCAGAAATATAGCACTCTTTCGATTTGTGTATTGCTAACCAAGTTAGCATCATAATTCAGCTAACGAAACGCGCGTCGACAGACAGTCTTCCAGTTCTTTATTACATAACTTTACACGCGTTCTGTCGTTCTTACCATTGTTTCTCACATCGTTCGTAATGATTCATCGTTGCATTCAGTACAATCTGGAGACTCGATCATAGACTCTGGCTGCACAACTCTACCGAAAAATAGTCGAAATTCAAATTCACTTGAATTGTTTCTATCAAATATAAAGTTTCCATAAAATGTATATTTCCTTTTTCATTAACAATTTCAATTTTGTCATCTCCAACATTTTTTAGAATAAATTCATTGAAAGAGTAATCAGAGCAGCACAATTTTCATCAGCATTTAGTCTGAGAAGTACCTGCACGGTTATACTGTACCATACCGCTATTTGAAAGACAATGACAAGACATTTTGCGAGTTTGAGGAAAAATGGAAGCATCAGAATGGTAAAAAGCATTAATTAATGGAAATATAAGATCTAAGCAATGAAATAGATTATGTCCAGTTAACTAGTTTAGTAACCCAATAATTCGAGAATTTGAAAATTCGGCAAGAAAACAATTGTTTTTTAAGAAAAAATTGAGCCTCTTACCCAAACAATCTTTCTTCAAAAATATATTACATATATTTGAGGTTTTCAGTAAAAGGTTCAAAGATATTTATGTTAGACTGATGTCGAGCATGAAATTAATTGAAACCATGTAACTTTGGGAACCTGGCAATCAATTTTTTTAATAGATGCCCAATGAGATTAGAAACTGAATTTGAGCTTTCCAGTTGGAAACTCCATTTGATACGACATTCCGATACTCGATACCAAGTCATGTCACATGCGGTAGCATATAACTAGATGGTCCAATTTCATATTCATTGCATGATTATGGACAAACTTTGAACTGCTAACGATAGAAACACCACGATAATATTTGGAACCACTTCCAAGAGATTCGTTTATGACAAAACTTACGGCACTCTTCCTTTCTTCCTGTCTTCTGAACATAAGTTTTCTGGTTTCATCGGAAACGTGAACTTTTCTCCAGTCATTGATGATTCAATATCCACTCATTGTCGAATAGTGAATTTGAGTTTGTGCTCTCATGTTCCAGACCTGTCAGATGCTGAGTACGATTCACTATTTTACACTCTCAAACTCTCTCAAGTCTCAAAAGTCTGCATAAGATACATTTTTAGTCTGACATTCACTCTTTGATTTTGAATTGAACTGCATTTTCGAAATCACCCTAAAAAATTGGATCTCATTGCCTGTTTGATTTTTCAACTATCATTTTGTTTGGAAGACAAGAATAATTGTAACTACTTACTTTCTATGGAGCCGTAAATTATCCATACTCCATTTTTAGTTTCATTTCCATACACCTGTATATTTTATACTTCATACTTTCCATACATGGAGAAAAAAAGTTGTTTCATTCATTTTGTCCCATTTTAAAATTTGTTGGATTTTAGTTTACCCAATATATTGAAGGCAAGATAAAGTCAAGTGACCATAACATGGTGGATTAAACGTTTTTTGGCTACTTGAATATGAAAAAAATATTATATTTTTACTGATTTCCTTTCACCTAGTGATAGTTTATATGCTACTATGAATGAAAACTGATGTCAGCTTGCTGTATCTCAGTGGAAAGTTTGTCAGCTGGTACCTTGAAGGGTGTAACGCAGCAGCATCTATCACCTACGAAATCTCATCAGCTGACGACTTTTTTTTTCGACTAACAGCTAGCTGATTCATTTCATTACTTACTATGACATGTTAACAATGATTCTTATGAATTTTTATTCAGGAGGAAATCACGTTTCTTAAGATCTTCGGCAGTATGCTTAATTTAAGTGTTTTGATAACAAATATGAAGTTTAATAGTGGAGCAAATGTTGGTATGATAAATTCAGTGATGAATGATTTATTGCAGCATAATTTTTCATTTGACTTTTATTTCAATGAGCTGAATGAAAATCGTTTCATTCTCGCTTTGGCTTGAGTCACTTTCATCTCTCTCTAATTCACTGTCAGAGTCGCTTTCAAAGTTACATGCGATCATGTCTTCATTATCATCATCTGAGAAATGAAGGAAAGAAAAATTATTGGTACGCGTGTATAGTAGAACATGATCAGTATGAAAAAAGGAGTCATGCCTTTTTCAGGCTGAATGGTTTTGTCCTCAATCGACGTTGGTAACTGAGTCCCGAAAAATCAATCAAATTTGAATCTGTTATTAATTTCTAGCCAACCATAGTCTGAAAATTCTTTAATTGTCGAATCTTTAAGGTTTGCGTGAGACCAAATTTGCGCAATGTAACACGCCCTTAAATATTGCTTGTACAGTTCTGATCCGCATGGTGGCAGAGAAGAACCTTCAGTACCTTTTATTGGACAACTTAAATTCATCATTATTGTCCAAAGTTTTTTGGAACAATGCAACCCTAGCGTCGTTTATGTATTTTAATCGATTAAGGCCATACATCTGACAAGATGTCTCTGACATTTGTACAAACACTCCGCAGTAGCTTCAGATTTTGACATTTTCGAAAATGGACGCTTTATAACTTTTCTAGAAAATGAAGCCCGTATATTTAGGTCTATTTCACGTAAATAATGTGAACTACAGATTATTTTTCAATCCCCTTTTCCTTCTTGGGCCCAGGTCTTACTTACTTGCTGTTCTGACTTTTTTACACCTATTAGTTAATACGGTGATCTTTCTTCTCACTTCAATGACCAATCAGACTCCCTCCCTAACTAGGTAAAATAATTTATTGTAAAATTATATTCATTACATTTTGAACCTTCTAAAAGTACAGTTAGAATGAACCTTGTCTTTTGTATAATACAATTAGCCTGTTATTCATCTCATGTCACTTTTCCACAAGATTCGATACAATTCTTTATACTCACGATGAAATAATCGTCGGTCAAAACAAATATAGTACTGGGAATAGAAAGCCCTCTCACTTTTTTTTGATGGCCGCATTGATATGCGGCTAATTTATCAATTAATTTTGGAAAAACCCATTCGGATAGTGCTATTTCACTGAAATCCATCTGGAGAATGTAATTTCAATCCACAATCTAGCTGCAATGTGAAAAGTGCTTAGGTATCTAAAGTTTCAATCTGCGAAAAAGAAATAACTCAAAAAACGTGATTTGTTACAGCATAAACATTTATAGGATTGTTGAAATGCTATAATAAATAATGAAAAAAATCAGCTAACTATTAGAGAAAAATTGTCAACTGGAAGGTGATAGATGTTTCTGCGTTACAAGATACCAGCTGACACCTACTTTCCACTGAGGTATAGCAAGCTGACAATAATCTTCATTAACAGAAGCATAATAACTATCACCTGGTAAATTTTCAGTTGAGAGGAAATCATTGAAGATATTAATATTCAAGCAGCCAGCAAACATATACTCCACCTGGCAGTTTTAGACTTTTTCGGCGTAGTCTCATGATTGCAGATTTGATTCCTAAACGAGACTAGAACAAATTTCAAATATGAGATTTCGTGCGACAATTCATCGTTTCCACAATATTAACACTTCTAATGATCCATGCAAAAATTAATATTAACACCACTTTTAGTTTTTCAGAATACCGATATTTCCGTCGTTTGTGACGAAATTCTTCCAGGATTTAATCAAAGAAACGATATCAGTTAGGGAAAAAAATAATATCATCCGCCCAGATATGATTCATCTTCTAATGGAAGCCAGGAAAGGAAGGCTTCAACACGAAACTATATCTAGCTTCTATCAAGATACCGGATTTGCCACAGTGGAAGAATCTTCTTTAGGAAAATCAGGAAAAAAAATGGAGTTAACCGACGATCTGATCACAGCTCAGGCTCTGGTTTTCTTTTTTGCCGGATTCGATACCAGTTCAACACTTCTATCTTTCTTGTCGTATCACTTGGCAGTTGATCAGAAAATTCAAACAACCCTACAGAAAGAAATTGACAACGTTACAAAGCTAGGAGACGGCAGAGTGTCCTACGAAGAACTATTGAAGATGAAATATTTGGATCAGGTTATATCGGAAACTCTCAGAAGATACCCACCGGGTTTTATGCTAACCAGAATATGTGTGAAAGATTACAAAATTGAAGCGAAAAGAAACGATGAGGTAGATTTTGTTCTTGACAAAGGAACCCTTGTAGGTATTCCAGTTGCTGGTATTCACTTAGATCCTAGATATTTTCCTGATCCTGAAAAGTTTGATCCCGATCGATTTGGTGATGAAAATAAAGCTAATATTATTCCTGGAAGTTTTTTGCCATTTGGAAGTGGACCACGCAATTGTATAGGTTAGTGATATTTCATTATTACTTTCGACTTGAGAATAATAATTATTAGCATTCGACATAGGAGAAGGCCTGAATTAGAACAAGAAAATGAACACTACTGTGGAAAGAAAATTCATTTTTTCATGCAGTTCATTCTCACAAATAATAATTTTCAAATATATTACTGAAGAATATCATAAAAACGTACACTTAATGATTCTCTGATGTATATAATAACATATCCAACTCTTCAAAATGCTAAGAACATGACCATTCTGGAACAGAAAAAGTTGTGGAATATTCAGTTGGGTAGTCATTGAGCAGTTGTTCTCAATTTTGGAAACATTCCAAACAGTTTATATCCCTTTCCTGGTTTTATTATTTCCATTTCTTTTTTCAACGATCCATCCATTTTTCAACTTGGTGAGATATCGAAAGAAAACCGATATGGAGAAAGTGCAAAAAAAAATCTAAATGACATTGTGGTCCTTGTAACTAAAATTCATCACAAGAATAAGATTGACTAAAAATTCTTCCAAATGATGGACTTAGAGAAGCGCATAAATATCTATTGCATGTTTCGTGAAATCGTATATTTTATATGAATTTTTTGTTGTTGCAGGTTCTAGATTTGCTCTATTGGAGTGTAAAACTCTTGTAGTCAGTTTATTGTCAAAATTTGACATCATTGTGATAAAGAAGACCCCTTTTCCATTACTACTCTCGAAAACATTCAATCTTGCTGGACGAGAAGGAATTTGGCTAGGTCTTAAGAAGAGGGAGAAGTTCTAAGATTATATACATCATCTCCAATTCGATCTGTGAATTATTAATTAGTTCGATCTGAAGATTAATTTAGGATTTATAATGTTTTAAAATTGATTTATGTATGTTTTTCAACTAATCTTCATCCTCTATTAGATTTGAGATTTATTATTTTAGTGATAGTAATGTTTATATTCCTTGTTACGTAGGTGCATGCGGACGTGTGTGTTTGTTGTTTGAATTCATTAAACTATTCATACATAAGTAGTCTTGAATTTTTTCTGAGAGAGGAACAAAAATCTCTCAAAAGGCTCATAATCATTTCAGTTGTGGATTGCAATCCATTTGAATGGAGTTTGACAGTTTACAAGGGCTAAGAAAGAGTTCAATGCTTAATACGTCAAGAAGTTGTTGTTACTTGAACTCAAAAAAAAATTTCATGGTATCAAATTAGCCAATGAAAAAACATATTTGAAGTAGTCCCTCGATTAGTGTGCGGATTCCTCAGAAGATAATTTGATAATTCAAACTCCACTTTCAATCAATCGAATGCTCTCTAGGTCAATGAATAGATACATCGTCTGTTCTGTTGAAATGTTCATGCAAAAACATTCTGGGTTTTGTACAGAACGAAGTCGTCACACTTTTTTCCAGATGCTGTTTGCGAGATTCATAGAAGTTTATGATGCATGATAATTTGATGGTATTCTTAAGTTATCATCTGTAGTGAGATAGTTATGCAAGTCCTTATATCTACTATCAGCCATCCGCCACGGCTCCACACGAGTGAAATGCTAATACTGAATAAATAGCTCACCAGCTTCCTAATAGGACTTTTTCATTCGCGGCTAGCGCCCAACTTGACATATTTGAAAATCTTTTTTTATTGAAGATCTACAACATACAGTGCATTTCTTTAATGTCTCCCCCTTTTACTTTTTGAAAGAGTCGACTCAAAAATTGAAATTTGGAATAATAAAATTATTACATGAATACTTTAATTTGAAGTGAAATTGACAGATGAAACTATCAATATGGCGACTGGGCGCCATCTGGGAAAAAAATTAAATGGAAAGGGGAGTCTTGTGACATCATTTTGAAGCTCCTGACGAATACTTCATAACCCTAGAATATGAAGTCAATATATTTGTTTATAAAAATGACAAAAAAAGTCAGTACGACAATGAACATCATTGTTCAGTTAGAATATTCTCATATAGTTTTCGATTTTACTAGTAGAAAGGTACCACGTTAGCAATCTCTAAAATGGCCAATTCTCGCCAATTGAACAGATTTTTATTTACGATGCGACGCGTAACTTTCAGGAGACCGAATAGATTTTCAGTGAACGTTTTCCAAATCGTCCTATCTGTAGAAAATATTTGAGGGAACTTGTATCCAAATTCACAACTACCGGTAGTGTACATAACACAAAGCCTCCAGGTCATTCGTCCATTCCGAAAGAACAGCAAGTGCAAATAATTGGTGAGATGGTAGTAAATCCTGAACAGTCTACTTATTCCGTCGCGAATATTTGTGAGGTGTCTCCTTCTAGTGTGTGGAGACTTTTGAAGAGGAATAGGTATCATCCATACAAAATTAGAATGGTACACCAATTAACTGAAGATGACCCTGATCGAAGAACATATATCTGCGAAATCATGACGGAAACCATTGCAAGGCATCCTACTTATCTTCACAATATTTGTTTTAGTGACGAATGTACATTTTTTTGAACGGCATTGTTCACAGGCAAAATTGCCGTTATTGGAGTGACAGCAACCCTTACGTTTTCCGGGAAACACATACCCAATATCCAGAAAAAAATCAACGTTTGGGCAGGAATATTGGAAAACCATATTGTATGACCTCTATTCATTAACCAATTCTGATGAATTCGATATGGATATAGTATTCCCACAAGATGGAGCACCACCACACTACTCCAGACAAGTAAGAAACTATTTGGATACTACTTTTCCCGGTCGTTAGATTGGCCGTCGAGGTCCTACAGAATATTTGACACCTTTGGACTTTTTTTAATGGGGCTATTTGAAGCAAAAGGTATACGAAACTGAACCCGCTTGAATATTGGATACACGGCAGTGAATAACAAATATTTGTAGACATATTGACGTTATTGTGTTCGAAAATATTCGGCGTGAAATATCGACCACCTTCTGAACTGATCTCAAGCTTATTACCTCATATTATGTAGTTATGAAGGAAGATATGATGAATCAATTTTAAAACTAGTACAAAACTTTGTGAATATTTTTCTTTTAACAATGGTGCGAGAAAAGTTCAATGTTTCACCGATTCCACACTTGAATGATTGTATGTTACACTGTATACATAACTTCGCGCAATTCTTACATCGATATGGATATTGTATTCCAACCATATGGAGCACCATCACATGACTCCAGACAAGTGAGAAACTATTTGGATACTACTTTTTCCGGTCGTTGGACTGGCCGTCGAGGTCCTACAAAATGGCCAGCCCGCTCGCCAGATTTGACACCTTTGAACTTTTGTATGGGGCTTTTTGAAGCAAGAGGTGTACGAAACTGAACCTGCTTCAATATTTGATATACGGCAGAGAATAATAAATATTTGTAGAGATATTAACGTTACTGTGGTCAAAAATGTTCGGCGTGAAATGCCGGATAGGCTGTTCATATGTCAAGAAGTCCGAAGCAACCATTTCGATCATTTTCTGAATTGACCTCAAGCTTATTAGCTCATATTATATAGTTAAATGTCAATGTATTCGAGCAATTATTAGAAGTTCTGCCATTTTGTAGTAGGTGACGATATTGACATTATATTCCAGGGTTGTGAAGCATTTGTTAGGAGCTTCAAAAAGATGTGTCACAAGACCCCCCTTTCTCTTAATTTTTTTTTCCCAGATGGCGCCCAGTCGCCATCTTGAAAGTTTTATCTGCCAATTTTACTTCATAATAAAGTATGCATGCATTAATTTCATTATCCCATATTCCAATTTTTTGAGTCGACCTGTTCAAAAAATAAAAGGGGGGTCATTGAAGAAAAACACTTAATAACGAATCTACATTAAAAATTTCAGCCCACAAAAATATTGGTGACTTCATTTTATGAACGCGACATTTCACTCGTGGCTGGCGCCCCAGTTGAAATATTTGAAAATCTGTTCTTATTGGAGATCTTCAATATAAAACGAACCTACATTTAAAATTTCAGCCTCCAACAATATAGCGGTACGAATAAACAGTGATGAAAAGGTAACTTTATTATATGAACGCGACTTTTTCACTTGCGGCTGGTGCCCCAGTTGGAATATTAGAAAATTTGTTTTTATTTCACATATATAGCGATACGGAGAAACGGTGATGAAAAGGTAATTTTGAAATGTAATCGCGCCATTTTTTTCCTCACGGGAAGCACCTCAGTTCGAATATTTGAAAACCTTTTTTTGGTGCGCATTTAAGACTTAAAAAGTCTAACTAGGACTTACCAGTATGGAGAAACAGAGATGAATGATGAGAGTTGAGTGAGACACTTTCGCGTTTATAAGTGTAGATACTTATATAGGTTGATATGTATTTCAATTAGACAATAGTAGATATGAGATTGCCTCATAACTCATAAGTGAGTATAGTCTATCCATTCCCAATTGGAACGGCAATAAAAATAAGTGTACAGTCTTAAACATTTTTTGCCTGTGGCCCCTAGTCGCCCAGATAGTTTGTAAACGTGCTATCAAATGTAGTTGAGGAGTGAAGGCTTGGCTAGCTTGACTGGCTGAATACTAATTTTTTGTCCGTTTCACAATATTTATTTATCAGTTCCGTGTATTCGTGGGGTTAGGTGAGGTAGTGACTGGTTTTGCGAAACGATTTTTGAAAACTTTTTCTAGAGATCAATTACCCTAACACCAAACTGATATTTTTGCACTCGACGNCCAATTGAAATGGTTTGGGCCACAATGAAAGAGAGCTTGCGGAAATGTAATCAGTCACCGACTTTGAATGCTGTAGTGCTTGACAATATAAGGCGAGTGGTGAATGAAGTAGGTAATAGTGATGTGTGAAAGAACTGTGTGGCCCACGTTATAAAAGGAGGAAACAAATATTATGTGCAAAGTTCCATTAATTCGATCGTTATTCAACCCGATGATGATTCCACCTCATCCGAATATAGCGAAAAGAATTTTGATTTTTCTAGCAATTTTGTTGGCCTCTATTATTTTGTAAATTTTTGTTTGACGAGAATTCGGTGTGATTATTTGTGTTTTCATTGTATTTCAGAGTTTTAAACTCGGAAATCAACTACCTTAAATTTCGAATATGTACCCATGGTGGAAAAACTCAGTTGAGTTAACTATTTCATGGGGTGATCAATTGCTATGATTGTAAGAATAAGTAACTGAAAAACTACCACTGAAAAATAATATGCCGACGCCTATGTAGAGGCGGGAATACCTTCTCTGTGCTGTTCCTATTGGTTTTGGAAATACTATAAAAGAGTCAAAAATATGACAATAGTATAACTGGAACATCTGCCATAGAATTGATGCCAAACTTGTATTGTACCCGAATTTCAGAACTGCAACACTTTTCTCGCACGCATTTCACCAACAAAGTTTGCGTCTGCAAGGAGGTGAACACCAATTTCTCACTTCAACAATTGATTATTTGGAATGAGTACTTTGTCAAAGATCAAAGTTCTCATACTACACCTATTTCCAGACTTTCCAAAGCATTCAAAAATGTAGCGTCATGTATCGATTTCAATAATTTTAGACAGTATTCATTCATTCTACGGCCGTTCTCTGACGCGTGTTGAGTGACTATATTTTTCAGGTTTACGAAATCGAATATATGCTATGTATTCTTCGAAACTAGTTTCGAAATCTCGCTTAGTCTGACCGATGTATTTGTGTCGCAGATCTCATAGCTCATTTCATATATCCCTAATTCCTCATTTTTGAGTATCTAGTCTTCAGAATAACCCAACATTTGTTGAAGAGAGCAAGACGTTTCCACCGTTAACCTTTCTAAAATGCGATCTAATGCATGTGTATTTTGGTTCTCACTGCAGGATAATGAACTTCGAATCGATGTTCGTCTCGAAAAATCGAAGATTAATAGAGATTTTTCGTGAAGTTTTCTTTCTAATCAACGTATCTACTATATTTGAAAGATACCTGCTTTCGGCTATGTCCCTGATAATATTTTTGTAACGTCGTCCCAAAAACTAACAAGCCTATGGACAAAAAAGTTCAGTCTTGCCATTTTCATGTTGTGGATAATGGTGTGAGCTATCAGAAATATTTCTGAAAGTAATTTCTATGCACAACAAATTCTAGACTGGTTACTTCTAATCACTGAGACATCCAAGAATGCTAACTTTCCGTTGTTTACAATTAAATATGTGAACCTTATATTCGGGGATCTGTTGTTGTGAGTTGAAACAATTACCTTTTATGTGGATTTCTTCAGGTCAAAAAACCCAAATACATCGTTGTGAATGTTTGTTTTTCTGACACTGATACTGTCCTCAGGCACTTGTTTAATATATAATGAATAGTTTTTCGTTTCAATACTGAAACAACTTATATATGACCACTGGGAAAACAGCTGAGTTTCTTTCTGGTCAAAACTGTTATCTGAATTTTGACCATGCAGAAGTTGAATTTTCTGGAAGTCGATGATGAAAACGAGAATCGTTCAGATGCGATTGAATTTAGGAGCATTTTGACACAAATGAAAGAAAAATGTACCCACCGAAATAGTTCCCGAACATCAGAGTTGCATTGTTGTGTTTATACACAATGAATTCATTATTTCGTTTGCTGTACATATTTAAAAAAATTCCAATGTTGAATGTAAATTATTTTTGACTCGTCGTATCTCAGAAACGGTGGCTCTGAGAAAAAAAAAGTATTGATACATTTTTTGTAGATAATATTATGATCTCCATTTCTCATTTGAGGTTATTTAAAACTCACTGTTTTCCTGAAAATTGCGAAAAAACATTTTTTTTTCGAGATTTTCGACCTTTGACCTCGAATACATTTTTTTCCATGCATCGCAATCATTCTGAATTTTAAAATCTTATTTTTAACTATGTTTTGGATGATTACAGGCATTTGCAGCTTGTAAATTTATATACCTTCACTCTCATTTTTTAGTCTAATTTGACGGGACTAAACCACATGATTTGAATTTCTTTTATCTTAATTTTTGCAATAAACTTGAAACCGATGATATTTTTGATCAGAGAATGGAGAGACCTTTCAAACAATATATCACAAGCCTAAACTTCCCATTTAAAAAATTGAGGGTTGTACCTGTCATTCGACGAGGGTTGAAGGTAGGGGTAGCATTTTACCGTTGAAGTATGTCAAATTATAATTTAAATTTGACATGTTTCGGGATTTTGTTAAAATATGTACCCTAACCAAAATAATGAATTTACTCCATTTGGATTTTACACACTGTATTCTATATAACGTCATTGCTAAATAATAACACGCATCCAAATGATGTATATGATTAATACAATATTGAATGAAGGTCAGTGTAGTAACACAGCTACTCATCTGACTCGTTCCCAAGTCCTTGCAAGTTGAAGGATCAATTTCGTTTGAAATTCAGTGAATCAAATACAACAGTTTAGTGGTTGTGATAGGTGAGTAGGAAACTTTTATTCAATTATATATTCATAAATTCAGATACATATATACATGTATTGCGAAAGTTTTCTCTCAATACTTGTAATGAAAATCTAGTTCAATTTTCCTCAATTGAAACCAGCTTAATTTATCTTTCAAAATAACCAGACAGATCTTCATTATTGAAGATAATTCACTTGTTCTATAAACTATATTGGTAGTTTGATTGATGTATTGCCGCGAATTATGAATTAGGGTTCATTCTAAAAACAACTTGAGTTGAAATAAAATCAATTTATTCTTCGATCAGGTCAAAGACCTTCACGAAATGCCAATTTACGTTATATTCACGATAGTTTCCAATGAAAGGAAGGCAGAAATTTCAACATAAGAACATTTGAACTACTTGGTTAAAAGCATGAATTGGATTGTCTTGGAATTTTTAGAAAAGTAATATATGGTAATTCTACATGCCCATAAATTCTCCATTACAATTTTTGTCGGGTTGTTTTAGCATACACAAAAATTTCCTTCACTTTCATAATTTCAGTCATTCCATATATTGAATTTTCAACACATGAGCATTAGACTTTTTTACATTATCATTTTTCAAACTTCAATACAATTCATTCGTTGAAGGTGATTTCCTCGATTTACTGTTTTTCAAAATGATAATGTACTATAGAGGTTGAACTATAGAGCGGGTGTTTAAGGTCAAAGATAATAATGAATCTGTTAGTATATTCATTATAAGTCCAATCGACTAAGATCCGGTTGTTTAGCGGCAGATTCCCAGTCTGCTCACAAACTCACGTACAGCGAATCACAACGGAGCCTCAATGGGTTGAAATAATATGTTGTAGTCTAAAGTGATGGTTATTTGAAAAATATCAGCATACGCTAAGACAAATAGGTAATCAAAGTATCTTATAAGAGAATCAGACACCATGTTTCTGTTGAATTTTCATAAAAAATATGAACCATTAATTGACTTTCGCACCACACCAGTCACACATTCTGTATTCTGTTAATAACATGCCCATTCAAATAAANAATTCCTATAACTTTAAAATTACACTAAAAAACTTACAAATGCGCCTAATGAATTGCCATAATGATTAATTCAGGATTTGAATCAACAAAATATTCTCTATACTTGTGATGCACTGTTTGGAGCCTTTGATGTAGTAATGAATACTGGAGTTTTATCCCAATACCAAACCGTTATTTTAACACCTCGACACGTGTTTCGATCACCAAGTGATCGTTTTCAGGAGAAAGATTAAACTCACATAGAAGCTCGTGACAAAGTATTAAAATAACGGTTTGGTGTTGGGATAAAACTCCATTAATATTCAAAATATTCTGTGGTAGACTGCCTTCGACGCCGAGCTTTAGGCTTCACTTCCACAAGCCTATAGTATTACCCATGCATATTTCATTGGTTTCCACAAACATGGCCCGGTTGCAGAAAATTATAGTGAATCACACCAGCTGCTGATCACCTAACAGAAAGCATGTTTTTTTGGTGGAATTTCGCTTTTGGAAAGTGCCTGGGTGGCTCATCGGTCTCCAACCACTCTGCTGAACGTTACTTGTTATCGTAGAGAATTCGCTTTTCGTCACACTTGGACGATCCGATACAAAAAATATATGTTTTGGTTGCGCAAAAGCATAGAAGAACAGACCTCGAAATGAGACATTTTCTCTTGATCCTTCAAACCCACCATTCCAATTTTTTGACCTTTCCGCCCAGTTCTTCCGCCATCCCACGCACCGTTTCTGATCGGTCAATCTCCACGAGGGTCCTCAAATCCTCGTTCTGGATTACTGTAGGTAGATCACTTCGGGACTCATCTCTGAGGCTAAAATCTCCGAAACGAAATTCTGCAAACCAACATCCAACAGAAAGTTCATTAAGACTTCCATTGCCAAATGCCTGTTTGAATTTTCGGTCTGTTTTGGCAGAGCTTTGGTTCAATTTCACTTCGTGGAGAAAAATTGGACGAGAATCATTCAACGATATCATACAGTAATGAACTGAAAAGAAGGCAAAAAGTTGAAATTTGGAAAAAATGTACGGCATCGATGTATAGAATACAAATTTTTCTATAGATCAATATATACCAAAACACGGTAGATTAAATATTTATTGAGAAATGGAGCTACAAAAACACATGACATTGAACTGACAACACTTTTAAAACAATCTAATACTATGCAATTTGATTTTATATTCCACTGACCTTCAATTTCAGTATTTTTACCCACCCTATATCAATGAAGAGCTTGTGATACATTATTGAAATTAGCTCAGCAATTCACTGTGGAAATGAAAGAAAAACTTTAATTTTTCATTGAGGAACTGTGATAACATAGGAAATCTCCATATACATTCAATCAAAATTTTAAGAAATCGAAACCAAATATCAAAATATCTCGAGATTTTCAAAGATATTATTTATTTCGATCATGAATTCTTCCAGGCTATATAAATCAAAACTTGAAAAATGGATAAGCAGTCAAAGTCGCAATTATATCCACCAAATCATCGACCTCAAAAATAATTATGGTATTTTCCTTGTGTGTGAGTCAGTGTTTGTATATATGTGTAAAGTTATAAACAATATCATTCATTACTATGTAAGAACCAATTCCTTTCTTTTTAACGACTACAGCTTAGTCAATATTACGAGAGTAACCTCACTGCCTATTTACCTAGGTATACTATAATTTAAATAGTTTATGTGCCAAAATGTTATTTTCCTTTCACTTTATATTTCCTTATGACTGTTCTTGTGTTTGTTCCTTCACATATGATTTCTGTTATAAACTGTACTAACTCAATGTTGTTGATGAATAAACATATGTTATCAACAAAATTCATTAACAAAAAATTGTTCTGTTCAATAACTGAATTGATATCTTCCAGACATAAATTATACATCGAAACATTTTGATTTACAGTTTTATATCAATTCATGCTTCAACTCACTTTGGGGGTGGCTATAGTGGCCGCCCTGTATTATTTTATCTGTGTTAAACCTATGAGATACTGGAAAAATCGTGGTATTCAGCAAACAAATCCAATATGGCTTTTTGGGGACAGTTGGAGTACACTGATGAGACAGGAAAGCACATCAGATCAAGCAGTGAGATGTTATAATCAGTTTCCAGGAGTCAGGTGAGTAATGATTCAAAGAACTATTCAATGAAATAACTGGTCGAAAATGAATATTACTGGAGTTTAATCCCAACATTAAACCGTTATTTTTAACACTTCGAAACGTGTTTCACGTGTGTGATCATTTTCAAGAGGAAGATTAAACTGGTAGAAATATTCACTTCAATCACATGATTATCAACGAATTTTTATGAAACATATAGATGCAGTGTATTCCGCCACTCGATTTTCTCTTGCATGGAAATGTCTTCGTTTTTTTCTTGAATTTCACTGATACTAGAATTCTGAAATTCATAAACGAATGTAAATTCAAATTGGTAGGGTTATATTGTTAGAAGTGACTAACTTTTGGGTAAGTTTATGGCTTCATCTCGATACAAAAAAATGTATCCAGATGAAGTTAGTAGAAAGCCAAAAACTTTCTTTCCCGAATGAAAATTACACTAGCCAATAAATAAGAAAAAGAAATTGCGACTAATATTATAGTTGCTATACTTGAGAGTTCATCATCAAAAAATTTTAAATATAGGGAAATATAAGATGAAAACAAGAAAAGAACAATATATTTTGAAGATAACAGACTTTATTTTCAATACTCATGAAAAAGCATTCAAATGAAGTGTTTTGTGCATAATCTTTTTGCAAATGTTTACTTTCATTTATATGTTTCATCGTTTTCCCTCATAAGGAACCAACATTAATCCCCCTTCATTCCTGCATCCCATCTGCCTTGGTAACGTTGCTCCATTGTCAGTATGTCTTGGAGGAACTTTGACCCTTGTTCGTCACTGACAGCATCCAAATTTTCTGGGAAAAAATTCAAATGGGAGTACAATAAATGGATTTTGAGAGTCATGCGACATCCCATTCTGCAGTAGTTTTCAAGTAGCTCTTCTACAAGTGTTTCGTAATTTTCTACTTTCTTGTTCCCTAAAAACTTCGAAACAATTCTTTTGAAAGAACTCCATGCAACTAATTCAACATTGATTTTGATCAAACTGTTGATCACTTAGTAGTTTTCTATTTTCTGGTCTAACAAGTATACCTTTCTTGAGCTTTACACTTAATTTTGGAAAAACGTGTTCAAGATATTTATTTAAACGCATCACCTTCTTTGTCTACTGCTTTTACAAAGTTTTTCATTAACCCCAATTAACAAAACGTTTTTGGGATCACAAGAGGTATATTCTTCACGTTAGCTGAACCTGGAATATCTTTATTTTTCGGAGGCCATTGTCTTACTAGATAATGGCTCTGTGTTGCCGTACTGTTCCGAAGGCAAAGAAAACAGCAAAACTTCATGAATCCGTCCTGAAGGCCTAGTACTCTTTTGACTTTTAGGTCACCACATATTTGCCATTTATACGTATTTTAACTTATTGCATTTAGAATAAGGGACCCTTCATGGCAACTGCATGTACAGGAGGAATAGAGGGTGTCTTGTTACTATTATGGAGCAGAACGGCTTTTGAACTTATTTTGGACGAATCTATAAATAAACGGCATTAGTCCGGGTTATGTGCATATCCTAATTTTTCCATCACACCATTTGGATTTACACATAAAAACATTTTATCTAGCATAGTAAAAAATGAGGATAGCTCATGGTTACGGTTCCTAAATGTTGTAACTTTGGTTTTACGGGCTAGTAAATTCCATTGTTGTAATCTAGACACTAATAGTTCAGCATTCTCTTTGGACAACTGGAGGTCCCGAACTAGGTCATTTGATTCAGGTTGTTTGATTAAATGGGGTGTTCTTCCTTCACTCTTAGGAAAATAAGGACCGTCTTTTTCTGGCACATCATGGAAACCTGCCTGATCATCATATATTTCCAAACCTTCCTTCCAATTTGCCGAGGGTGTTGGAACTGGTGAACCTTTTCCATGAACAACCGGCCTTCTTATCTGGATATAAAACTTTGTGTTTGCTCTTTCTTGAAAAACCAGACACGTTTATCATGCAGAAGTAACAGTCGTTGTAATGATTTGTTGTTTCTCACCACATCATTGGAACTGCAAAAGGCATAGAAGAGCGTTTGCCATTTAACCAGTTACTTAGATTTGCTGCACAGGTTTAGCAACATACCAGAGGGGCCCAATCCCGATCTTGATCACCAACAACATATCCAAAATACTTATGATAAGGTGCTTTGATCATTTGATTAATTGGCCATGTCTGCAACACCAACAACATATCTAAAATACTTATGATAAACTGCTTTGGTCATTTGAATAATTGGCCATGTCTGCAAGATAGGAGTAAACTTACCACATATATAGCAAAAACTATTTGCGGGATTAACGAAGCCACGTTTCTGTACTTTGAACATTTTTGTACTGTTGCGTACGTCGAGTTCAAATATGTTATACTGCGTTCTTAGGAGTCAACTTATTTTATTCACAAAGATAACAGTAATATAATACTCTTAATATTCACGTGATTGCTCACCTCGCTTCTTGAATACTAAGTCACCACTACTCGCGTTAAACCAATATTGCTGATCCGATTGTCAACCTGTATTTCAGGTGTTTTTTGGAAACTTCCAGTATCGGAAGTTCAAAAAGCGGCTTCACAAGTCTTATGTACAGCAGAAGCAGATATGATTACTAGGTAGAACCGCTATGTTGCCAGATTTCAAACAATTTCCTCAATTTAGGGGAAAAGCAAATTTGCAATGTCGTGTTCATTGAATTTTTGTGAAAAAAATCATAACTCAAAAATCTTATGTGTTAAGAAATTTTTACTATCATTTTCGTATTTAGAGACCAAAAATTAACAAAGAACTGCCATTGGCAATACAGTCGTGAATTGGCTGTAATCAACAAAAATTCTCTTGAATGGAAAAATTTTTCATTTTTGTTACCTTCCTATTTGAATTTTGACGGGCCAGCAAATTTTACGATCTTCCTCCCAAATTTTTTTTCTGCATTCTACTTGCACGAACATACTAACATTGTTATTGATATTTCAGAAAGACCTGATTAGAAGTTTGCATTCACTATCATTTTCTGATTTGATCGAGCATTTGAGTGGCGATACTTTTTTTCTAATTTTTTCTAATATGTAATTTGTACCCGCGAGTTGAAGAGAAATAAAATGAGTGAAAAATCCCATAACGGTTGACCCTGCAGATCACCCTCACAACTTCTCGCTTCTTCGAGCTCGTAATTTCAAAAATTTTCATTTGACGAAATTACTTGAATGATATTTTTGAACTACACTATCTATTTTTGGAAATTTTGAATGTATTGAGCAGGAAGTTGAAAATTCAATGTTTCAAGAGGCCTCCACACCTTCGATGCCCCAGAGTCCCCATACTTCCAAATCCGGCCATGCATATAGTAGTGAATGTTTCACTAGGTGTAACTTCTGGTAAACAATTGTTTACAGTGACACAGATATAAAAAATTCAATATTAGTGGCTGATTGAGGCGGAAATAAATTGCACTTTCCACACAATGGTTCAAAACTTCTTTGATTAATCTTGTGATTTCATTTTTTCAGTAAATTCCTGAATTGGATCTGAAACCTCACCAGAATAAACCGTAGAACATTTCTTGTTGTAAGAATGTAATGGTTACATTTTTTCATATGGTATAAATTTCCAGAATATATCTCTACCCATCTCTATTTATGTTCCTATGGTATTCAATGAACTGCTACTGAATATTTTTTGAATGAATCAGATGAAATATGAATGTTGACACATTATTCATCAACAAAATATGTTGTTAGATATTTTGGATGGTACCAGTTTTCTCTTCCTACACTGATGATCAAAGATCCAGAACTAATCAAGCAGATCACAGTTAAGGATTTCGACCACTTCACCGACCATAGGTCTTTTTTTCCTGAAGATGTAGAACCTCTGTGGAGCAAAAATTTATTTGCATTAACAGGTACGTAATCCATCTTCCTTCCACAATGATGTTTTTCGTGTTAACTTTGCATGTTACTGGATGTATATAGATTTTGCCTTCAATAAAGCTCAAAAAAATTCAGGTAAGTTAAACCTACTGAACAAACTTGACTGAACATTTATCTTCAATGAATTTTTTCCTCTATAATTTCATCAATGCTGCTTGTATCAATAGGTGATCCAACATATTGTTGTTACAAGGTCATTTCTCTCTTTCTCTTCACCCGTATTATTTCATATAATACCCTTTGGATTGCCATAATGAATAGATCACAATACTAATTCAAGTTACAATTTACTGTGAGATTTTCACTGCACCGCTTACAAAGCTGTTTTGCTTCTCAATAACTCCGTCAAGCTTTTTTCGTACTTAATGAATTATAATGAATTTGTATTTGAGATAATAACAATTTGAATTGAATCACCATCTACTTACATAATGAGCTTTGGTGAAACTAATGAAAAATTCAAACAGACGTATTGTAACAAATTATTGAATTAACTGTCTTAAACAAATTTATTTACAATAATATTTCACTAATCACGAACTAATTTATTAACAACACTTAGCAACTAACGCTTAATTTATTTTCACTATTTTAATTTCTTGTTTAGCCGCTCGATTCACTTTCTGAACTGCCCTCGTAGATCGGGAAGACGTGCTTATATAATGTAATGGTCTTTTCTAGAAATATGTAGTCGGTTCGGTGCTAGAGTTTTACCGGCGATCCCCGACTGCATTTTTTCGCCGTGATGTCATGTGTTTGTTCGCTGAGTCAGCCAACAAACACATCAGTCAGAGGCGGCTTCAGATCCGTTACATTATAACAAAAATTTTACCAACTCATTGAATGAGTATGTTGTTTCAGAACATTTCATGAGTGTAATTCGAACTGTAATTTCTTGGGAAATAATTAAATTGAATTATTCGAAACGGGCGCCATTTGGATCAGCGTACTCTGGCCAATGTAAGATGAGTTGAATAATTCCGTCTGCATGAAAATTCTACTCAAATGTGTAATTCGTATTTTTTTATCATCCTAGAAATGCTCCGTCTGCCTATCACTGTATCTTTCTCGATCTTAGGTTGACTCGTATGAGAATTTTCTATGATTGATCCCATAATGAAAAATTCATTTTTCTCATTTGGGATCGTTCAAATGATACGTAAGCATATTTATTACAATTTTATTGCAATTATTCACCCCCACCCTGAAAGTAAGCAAAGCTCTTATCCCCCTTATGTAAACATTTGTTTGAAGATGGTTGACAATGTTTCGTGGTGCATTTCATCAGTTCGGACTTCCACTGTCTAATATGATATAAATTGATTTGAAATCCCTGAAAGAATGTGTAAAAAATTAAAAAGATTAGCTGAAAAATAGCAATTATATTAATAAAAAAAAATAAATTATAATGGAATAAAATACAGGCAACAACCAAAAAATTAAAATGAAATATTGAACTATTAACACGAGATAAAAATCAAAACAATTATTAACAAGACATGAAAAATAAAAATGAAAAATAAAAGATTCCAAACCAAGTTATAGTATTTCCAATACCAATTGGAACAGTACAGATAAGGAATTCTCGCCTCGACATAGGCGTCGGCATATTATTTTTCACTGGTAGTCTTTCAGTTACTTATTCTCACAATTATAGCAATTGATCACCCAATGAAAAAGTTATCTCAACTGAATTTTTCCACCATGGGTAATTATGATAAACTTTGAGATTNACACGGCACTGATAAAGAAATATTGTGAAACGGACAAAAAATTAGTATTCAGCCAGTCCAGTTAGCCGAGACTTTATTCCTCAACTACATTTGATAGCACGTTTACTAACTATCTGGGCGACTAGGGGCCATAGGCAAGAAATGATTATGACTGTACTCTTATTTTTATTGCCGTTCCAAATGGAAATGTGTAGTACACGACGTTTCGATTGTTAGTTTTCACATTCGTCTTCGGGTGATAACTGAACTTATTCCTCAGACCTCGGAGGAATCAGAAAGGGTATTATTACGAAAGCACTATAGGGAGTCTTTGCTTTGCTTATTTTTGAATACATCATGGCGAGAGTATAGATGGTGATTAAGTAAGTAGTGCATATAACAATGTTTACATGATTTCCTTGGTTCAAATTTCCACTATCTAATATGATATAAATTGATTTGAAATTCCTGAAAGGATCTGCAAAAAATTAATAAGATTAGCTGAAATATAACAATTATATTAAGCAAAAAAAATGGAATTTGGTTTTGGTCTATTTGCCTTCTCATATAAGCTACACCTCCAGTCCCATATTGCATATAGCAATCGTTCAAAAACCAACTTGTTTGGTTTGTTCCGTTCTGGATATTTTTGGATATAAGCCTTCGGCAATTTTATAAATACTCACCAACCGCTAAAATCATACCTATCCGCTCTTGATTGGGATAGGTCTTTATTTTCAGCGAAAATAATTCAGTGAATGTTTTGCATAATGCCAAACACAATAATTGTCAATGAGAAAATTTTGTCAACCAATCAAACAAATGTCCTGTCAGAGCTATCTTGATTCAAACCAAGCATTGAAATTATAACTACTTTTTGAAAAAGCCAATATCTGAGAAACTATTCAGGTTAGTTATAGGAACTTCAAAATAAAATGAAAGATAATTGAATTTCATATTTTTCAGTCCAAAAAATCGAGTGTGTTCTATTAGAGATAACAAAGTTATCTTTGTTCGAAATTTAAAAAAAAGTGATAATGATGTTTGGTAATTCTGTATATTATTGATAAACAAGTCTCATCGAAGAGAAATAATTTCTATACATTTCGATGTTATTTAGTTTTCAATTGTACCTTTTTCATAAAAAAAAAATGAGTTGAACAACTCAGCAGCACTCAGCACTCAGCACCACATATCACATTATATTTTTTTTAGTCGAGAGGGGAGTTTTTGTTTTCGAATGAAGGTGAGGAATACTATTGCAACACTTCGTAGAAATGTTGATACTTGTGATATCTCGAAAGATTTTGGTAATTTAGGTGCTAAGTTAGAAATATATCTTATTGAGAAATATCGAATTAATTCGTTATGCTCGCTAATGTTGCTGGAAGGGAAAGAATCATAGAATTGAGAAAAAACTTCACTATCGCTGAATGAAATTTGATTATTTGAATTTGTCATATTGAGTATAAATTGGAATTTGATAAATTGAACGAAAACTTATTCAAGAGCTTAAGTGGATAAGAATTATCTATCATAATATTTCCCAGTAATTTAAAATTATTTTTGACATAATCTGAATGAGATAATCTTGAAACTTGCTTTCTGGAAGCTAGAATAAAGTTGGTTCACATTCTCTAGTGATGATGAAAGAAGTATATTATTCAAATGAATACGTTTGAAAATGTCCTTGTAGGACGAATGGTGAACATTCAAACAAAATTCAGCTTTCATTTTCAAGATACTTACCTGGATAACTAAGATATTCAATGTAATACATTCAAAATCCTGTCCTTGTGGAAAATGCTTTGCGTCAATTCATATGACCCTATTATTTATTCCATAAAAAATACAAATATCACTATAAACAGTACCTATAATGCCTGAGCTTTCGATACTGACGTACCACTTATAAATCTCTGTAAGGAGAACTCAAGTAATTTCTCAAAATAAATCTCAGTAGTTACGAAATGGACGCTACGGAAAAATAATCAACCTGACGGTTTCAAATGCAAATCGGCAAACAGCGATTCTTCGTTTTTTCAATGAAAATCGATTTTTCTTCATGAGAAATCGATACAGAAAATATTGGACTTTTCGATAACCGTCTCCATTTGCATAAGAACTATTATACCATTATATATAGACTAACCATACTTTCTTTTTACGAAACCTTATTCAAGTAAGTCATATAGTCTCAGCTTCTAAGTAAAAGATGGCGATAGCTGTATCGAGTGTTATTGATTTTTAATTAAATGAAAATAATTGATGAATTATTGCATGTAATGGAAGAACCGATAATTTTTTTGTTACAATCTGAAACAGTTTCTGTTTTAACTATATAAGTGAAGTTCCACTTCGTGAATAAAGTATTCCATACACCAAATCATTTCATTGAAGACAAAGCAAAAATACTTCAGAAAAATCCTTAAGACGCTCTAAGAGCGGTGCCTGTGCAGAAGTAGTGATTCACGATCGATTTGAATCTTTGGAGATTAAATCTATTTGAAAAACGTTCTCGGGTAGTTTATTCTACATGAACGCAGTCCGTCGCGTATTTCTGATATTAACCACTCTTGGTGAAATCAAATGTGCCAAGTCACTTGAACACTTCCCGTGAAAGTATCTATAGAAGAGAGACAAATCTCGAACCTTCTTCGATATTCCAGACTATCAAGGTTGCAAGTGATAATCGCCTCTTCAATCAGGCAGATGGCTCTTTTCTGGATGGAATCCAGCGGCAGCAGTAGCAGCAGCAGCTTCAGGGTATACTTAAGGGCGGAGACAGAAACTTGTATGTATCTGACAGGTTGTGTCATTTCGAAATTATTGTTTATAAATGATGAACAATCATATTATCTACTTCTTGCAATAGGGAGTGGCTTTTTATATTCACGGCAAAACAGCTAGTGCCAGTTTTGGAGGTCTGGAGTACCTGGAACAGTGAACAAAACGAGCTCCCTTATCATTTTCTGAATAAAGAAAACAATTTCTTCAATAGTCTATTTAGACAAGGGTCGATAATTTTTGACCAAAAAAATAACAGTGGGATGAAATCAATTAGAAAAGAAGGGGAGTATGATAAAAATGTTTTGCCCGATTTACGGCAAAACTACAAGTCATATTTAAAAAAGTTGAATGGTAAAGTTGTAGGTAATAGAAAGATCTACAATTTATGTGTTCACAATTCCTTCACATAACCCCAAAATGTATGTGAAAAATTCAAATAACCAAGGTATTGGTTTTTTATTTTTATCTTTCCAAAAAAAAAATTCGACGAAATTTGGTGGAAAATTACATTCCTATGTCCCAAATACACTGTAATTTATTTGATTTTAAATATTCATTTTTCCCCTTATTTTGACTTAATATTCAAAAAGCACCCTAATTTCCAAATTCTTGCGTCAAAATATCAGATTAAAAAAAAATCGGTGTACTTTTTTTGAAACCTCAGTTGATTCAGTGTTATTTTTTCATTTATAAATAGATTTGATTGATTGTTTTACTTTTTTTATATCTTCTTCACTTGCACCTTTTTTATAGAAACCATTGGCCAAATTTGACAAATTTTTAGCGTCTAATTATGAATTTACGATACTTTTCTTTCCTTTTCCGGCAATTCCAGATGTTGTATCGCAACCAGATAAACATTGCAGAAATGCAACAATATTTTTGAAGTCTTCATTTTTGAAACTATTAGACGTGAAAAATAGATCCTTTATATTTTCAGAACCGGGTTTGAGAAAATAAATGTCATGACCATTCAAATTTGGTTCAATTAAAACGACCAAAAGATCAATATCTTGACCCACAACAATGACAGTTTTATTAGTATCTTATCAGCATCAGCATCTTCTTCTACTTGTTTACAGGAAAACCTTTGTGACTGTATCCCATCTTCTGTGACCCAACAACGACAATATAGCTACTTGCTGCGTAATATTTTTTTATATAGCGCAAATATTTATTTTGATCTCTTCTACCATTTCATTTTTCTGCCAAATTATCACTTATTAAATAATAACTTATTCGTTTGTTAATTATAGTAGTAAGTATATTTCGATTTGCAATTTTTCCGTTCATCAATGTAACATGGAGTCTTACGGTTTTTGAGTAATTAAAGTGTAAATTTCAATAAATAACTCAAAATTGTACATAATGATTGAAACATTTTTTTAGAATTCGAGTTTTTTTCGATTTTTTGCATTTTCTGAGAACATTTACTATAGTAATGTATATCATTTTACATCATCAGAAACTAGAGATTTCATTGAACGAAAAGCACACCGACTTTTTGAAAAAATGCTGATATATTGATGCGAGAATTTTCGATTGAAAATTAGTATGCTGTTTGATATTGAGTCAAAATAAGCTGAAAAAATAAATATTTCAATTCAAATAAATTACAGTGTATTTGGGACATAAAAAGGTTTTTACAAAATTTTGTAGAAAAAAATTGTTTTGAAAAAGATAAAAATAAAAAATCAAAACTTGTTTATTTGAATTTTTCACATAAATTTTGAGGTTATGTGAAAAAATTGTAGATAGAAATGTTCTAGATCGCCTACAACTTTGCTATTCAACTTTTTTGACTCGTAATTAAGTCGGAAATCGAGATCAACCATTTTTTACCATTAAAAACTCACCCCCTTCCACTTCCCGAACTCAGATCGCCCGTAATTTATTTTTCCTTTCATTTTTATAACATTCCCCTTCTAATCTAATTGGTTTTATCCTACTATTATTTTTTTTTACTTTTCATCATTTTTGAAAGCCCTGGTCTAATCATCAACAAATAGAATCAGTTCAGGATCATTATATTTTGGATTTGAAGGCTTCCAAACCCGAAAAAATAGTGAAAACTTCGGCTGCAAAAGCCATAATCATTTTGTCAGAATCATTTCAATGAAGAATGTTAAAATTAGTAGCCCTAGAACAACAAGATGGCACATTGGGTCATATTGGATAATTATCAAAAACAAACAATAATGTATTTTTTCCTTCAGTTACTGGTGAACTGTGTTCTTGTTCCGAAAATATCTCTACGAAAATATAATACATGAAATAAATGATCACAGTTTTATGTATCAGTCTTAATCATGATTTCAACCTGTTGAATATTTCAGGAAAAAAATGGCGTGATATGAGACCAATTCTTAGTCCAACCTTCACAAGCAGCAAAATGCGAACAATGTTTCTATTGATATCGGACTGCTCAGAAAAATTCGTGAAACATTTTGTAGAAAATAATGAAAACTGTATTGAAATAGAAATGAAGAACATTTTCACTCGTTTCACGAATGACGTCATAGCAACAACAGCTTTCGGTGTTGAAGTCGATTCGATGAAACAACCCAATAACGAGTTCTATCTGATGGGAAAAGAAGTAAATAACTCCACTGGATTTTGGAGACTTCTCAAGATTTTTGGATATTTCATAATCCCCAGCGTTTACCATGTGAGTTATTAACATGCTAATCATCTTAGAGTAGGTATGTTTTACAGCTTTTTTGCTATGACCCTTTCAAACCTTGACTTTGACGGATTTTTCAAGTTATTTGCAATTGATAAGTTATATGGTTCGTATTGAGAAAATATATTTTTGAATTTGTATCCACTTATAAATCGGAAGCTTCGCGTTTCATGAAGATATTGAAATAACTTAAAGTAAAACATAAAGATTGAGAGGTTTTTTGAGTTCTCTAGGAACAAAATCAGGTGAGTAATGATTTGTTGTAGAATACATTTTTTGCAGTTGAGGAAATTTTTTGTAGTGCATTATTTATTTTGCATCACCTATAAGTGAGTCATGATGCAAAAATGGTAGGTAAGCTACTAAAATTGTTGAAAGAAATAAAAAGCTTCCCCACTTTTTCATATTGATCCAAATTACTTCATTTCTACCGCATATCACACATGTACTGCATAAGCTTAGTCGCGTCAAAATGCGTATTATTAGGAAACAAGAATGATAAAAATAATCAGTACTTATTTTTGAAATGAAGAAGTGAGTTTTTTAAAATCATTTCGATTAGAAAGTTTATATTATAATGCATGGACCAACCTCTTGGAGCTTTTCAGCACTCCGTCTGTCAAATATCAACGAATGTAATTAATATTCTGAAAGAAATATGAGGTTGAGATATCTTATACCTCTATTCTAGAAGATATTTTCAGAACTGGTAGATACTGCAGAATATTTCTGCCGTACAGCCTGCCAACACAGGATACGTTGCAGAAGAGACACTCATTTGCTGGTCATTTTATGTTGAGGAGTCAAGCTTCACGTTATGCTTGGGGGAGAAGTTCCATACATGAGAACAATACTACGAAGAAGGTATGACCTGAACGTTAAAAAGCATCAAAAGTTGCTGAGTTGTGTACAGTTTTCTGATTCGGAATGGTGCCGGTGTTCAAAACTTTTGAGAAGCGGTTCTGCAATTCCAGCGACATGATTTGCCACGACATATTGGTGTCCATTTCGACCCCCAACAAACATATTGAAGCAGAAAGTGGAACTGTCTGGCCTAACATTATTATATCCGGGTTGGAGAGATTTATTTTTTTGGAGAGAACCGATGCCTGGGTTCTTGTAGCATTGTATCGAACCTAATTGCTCTCACCTAAATTCAAGATTACTTCTAGATTCTTATCAAAATATGCAACCTCCTGCTGCCGATGAAGATGTGCATCCACAGTCGATGACCTGGAATCCTAATGGAATGACGAGACAAGTGTGCTGCAGATAGTAAATAAGTCTAAAAAAAAGGTTGAAGACAATATAAATCCCTGAGGAATACCAGCGTTGATGGTGAAAGTATTCGAGAGATATTCATCGACAGCCTCTTGCAGGAAACTTTTTTTCAGGAAGCTAAAGAGCCATATACAAAAGTGATCCGACAAGCCATAGCATTGAAGTTTAGCCAGCAAACTCTCACGCCATATACGGTCGAAGGGCTTAGAAATATCAAACGCAACAGGTCTTGACTGTCCATGTTTCTCGATTGCGTTATTTCAAATATGAGTGACATGAGATAGAAGGTTACTTGATGATCTTTGTTTCCGAAAGCCATATTGATGATCGCTCGGGATGTTGGAGCCTAGAAGGCTCAAGAATATGGTAGTTGATGGCTTTCTACATGAATTTTGATATCACTGATAGCAAAGCGACTGGTATATAGTTAAGAAAAGAGAAATGAAACTTTCTATGTTTTTTACCACTTTTATTTGTAACTAACGTTACTGCACTTTCGTCCTATATGGACATTTTCAAACTCATGTTTAAAAAACCCTTTTCTTTTAAGACAGGTTGAAAAGTCTGCAAAATACTGGTGCGATTTCATTTGCGCACTTTTCAAACACTTTATCAGGAGCAGACGCCTTGTTGACATTGAGCTGTTTCATAATTCGCCTGACTGGACGTTGTCGAAAAGTAATTTCTGGCATTGTGGATTCTAGCGTGAGAGTGCTGGGTGGTGTCTTTCCCAGAAAATCGACTGTGGAGTGGGACGCAAATTTTTCAGATAGAAGATTTGCCAGTCAAATGGCTGCTGTTGCAACTGAACCATACGCATGGAATTGTGGATATTTTGAAGTTTTGATTAACAGATTCAACTACCGACCAAAAGTTTATAGACCCATTGATTTTGACAAGAAGTGCATCCCCAATTCTCTGATTGTGACGATCTTTGCGCCACTGCCGATAGGCGAGATTTTTGGAGGCGACAGCTTGCTCGCCATTTCAATTGGAACAAGATTATCGTTAGAAGTTCGTTTCATTCAAAAAGGAATATATGCATCCATGAATGACAGAAGTACAAATAGATGGATTTTCAGAGCTGGAACAAATGTCTAGCCAGGGGACATTTCGGAAATAGTCTCGAACTCCGCAGACTCTATCCAGACCACTCTATCAAGATGGCTGTTATAATTATTGAAGTCCTTGGTGAAATGATGGCCTCTCTACTCTCGATGGATGCTGAAGGCTGTCAGTCTTTGCTCACCGCGCTTGCTAAGGGCACATGATTCTCGGATCCCACGGTGTGGGATATGGTCGTTGGTTGATAATGCTGGCGCGCTCTCCCGAATTTATCTGGGCTTTGGAGGAGAAGGCCTGATCAGCGCATACTTCGGTCTGAAAAATTAATAATAATGATAATATGCAGGGATGGCTAATAACACCCTTGGCCTTTGGTGAGTTGCTCTATCACTTACCCGAGCAACTGGTGCAAAACCGGACCGGCAGCCCAGGCGCACCCGGGAAGGAGAACGATATTCTTCCTCCGGTGCCGGTCGTGGGTCCACAGGGCAACACTTTGTTTCTAGTAAACGAGGAAGGGGCCCCCACAATCGAGCCGCTAGAAGGGGTCAGAGGCAAGGTGATGGGGCCCATAACGATGATTTGCTCACCGATGATAACCCTGGCAATAACAATGGACGCTTCAAGTGGACGCATGAGCTAAGAGATAGTCTTATGCATTGCTACGAGAGTAGTGAGCCCGCACGAAGAGGGTACATGGCGAGATTGCATGCTCTGTGTGAAACACATCCTGAGCATGCCGCCTTTTCCGCCCAAAATCTTAGGGATTACGTATCCTATCTTCTGCGGCAGGGCTATATAGCTCCTTCCCGGCTTGCTAACGAAGTGATGAAACTGTCTTTAAAAAAAAGAAATCGTTAATGGAAAACCTCAAAATCAGAATGGAGAATTCACTGTGTTGAACTGCAGAAATCCTACTGTTTTCATACAATTTAAAATTCCCATAGACGCAGAGATAAGTGAATTGAGATGGTGAATACAGAAAAAAACACGCTTTCTAGGAATATCAATTACCCACTTGATGCTATCAAAGCTCAAAAAACTTGGTTGGAAATAATCAGACCGAAACATTCGACTAACAACGGCCCTGCGTTCACCTTTAATCTCCACCATACATATGCGTGTTTCGTGATGGCAAGTGAATGTAAAGTTTCTTTTATGTTACATCCGGAGGGGTTGATTTTGATTACATAATCAAAATGCATAATGGGTCAGTCGCTGTTTACGATACATCTATTATCTATTCAACTACTATGAATAGCTAGCAGGCTAGGGAAATAGTTGTGATGGTTTTGTTTTGCTCTGTGTACAGGGCTTCCCACGACGAATAATTTCAGTATTAACCGATCACTCACGTCATCATTTTTGAGAGTGAATCTTTTTAAGTTGAATTTTCACTACATCGAATTCCACACTATGTCAAATTTTACTATATCGACTTGTCGATATGGATCCTCACCACTGGTATCGCAAAACATGAACATGAATAATAATAATAATAATAATGCTCATCTTGCATTTGCTCAGATGCCTTGCGGTACCCATGATGATGCATTGAACAACTGATACCACTTTGACGACCTCGCTTCACCATAACATCCGATGGTCAAGCAAGAGTCCAAACATGGTGGGTCACTTTCAGAAGGGGAGTATTTCAGGGTGATTCCATCAGTCACCTTCTCTTCTGCGTCTCACTATTGCCATTATCCGTTGCGCTCAGAAATACTCCAGGGTATAACTGTGGCACCCCCGGAAACCGGAGGCACAAGGTCACCCATCTGTTTTATATAAATTATCTTTAACTTTATGCCTCTGATGTGAAGGATCTTTATCAGTCCTTGAGGGTGATGGAAGAGTACACGCATGCTATCGGTATGAAATTCGGGATAGACAAATGTGCAATGGTCCATATCAAAAGAGAACGATGCGGGGACTAAGTAGAGGATGTGCAGCTCGTAGATGGAAGCAACCTACACCATCTGGATGCCGGAGAGACATACTCACCTCGGGGTGGAACAACGCCACTCACAAAAAGTAACAGCAGTGAAGAACTCTCTCCGCGAAAAATATCAACACAAACTTCGACAGATCTCGTCATCAGAGCTGTCAGGGAAGAACAAAGTTGCTGCAACAAATACGCTTGCCGTTCCAATCTTACTCTACTCGTTTGGAGTAGTGAAGTGGAGTCTGGAGGAGCTGTATCAACTTGACGTGAGGACCCGAAAAATGATGCATCTCTATAGGAGTTTGCATCCGAAATCGTCCGTTCCACGATTGTACTTCCCCCGACGACAGGGATGCCGTGTACTTTAGAGTTTGGAGTGTCTACATGACAGAATGGTACTGGAAAAAGCCTGAAAATCGTCAGGAGTTTGGATCCCCTTCTCTGCATTGTCCGTGACCATAAGAGAGCAGGAATTGGATCATTTCTCCTTAGGGCAGCTGCCCGAGCAGCTGATGAACTCTGTATAGTTTTCGACTCTGAACGAGGTGACCACAACTCTGTCACCAAGTTGGAACCCGTTCAGCAAAAAGCTCAGATAAAAGCCGCAGAGATCACTTTACTTCTGCGGAGACACAAGGATAAGCCAATGCATGGGGTCTTCTTCAATAACATTGGAGACCTTGGCTTATCAAAGCGCCTGACGTTCGCTTTTCTCAAGTCGAGTAGGCTGAAGTCGGAAACTGAGGGGTTCATCATGGTTTGCCAGGATGGTGTCTTCAACACCTTAGTCTAGCGCAGTCGCGTGATGGGTATAGAGGTTCCTGACATAAGGTGCAGGGCTTGCCGCGAGGCGTCCGAGATCCTAATGCACTCGCTATCAGCATGTCCAGCATATGCGGTCACGGCCTATATCCATCGACATAATGCGGCCCTGAGAGTGATATATTACCATCTACGGCACTCTTACGGTATTGACGAGACACCTGTGTTGCCCTACGCTCCGGGGGATATTGAATCCGTTGTGGGGAACGAGAAGTGCCGAATTTATTGGAACTATTCGTTCCCCACCCTCAGGTTAATACAAGCTAATAAGCCTGATGTAGTCCTTCTCGACCACCAGACCAAAAAGATATTTGTCGTGGAGTTTTTAGCTCCTGGCGAGACGAATATCTTCAGAAAAGAGAAGGAAAAACGGATATAATACCGAGATTTTCTCTTCGAACTCCGCAGACTCTGTCCAGATCACTCTGCCAAGATGGTTGTTCTGATTATTGAGTCCTTGGTAGAATGATGTCCTCTCTATAACAGTTTTTTTATCGAAAGCAACTATTAAAACTCGTCAACGGTGTAGCAGTTTCTTTCAATGAGATATTTTTTCAATTGTCTTTTGAATATGCAGATGTTCATTGAGTCCTTAATTTTCCACGATTGTACTTCCCCCGACGACAGGGATGCCGTGTACTTTAGAGTTTGGAGTGTCTACATGACAGAATGGTACTGGATGTAGCCTGTAAAGTCGTCAAGAGTGCGGATCCCCTTCTCTGCATGGTTCGTAACCATTAATATTATTGGAGTTTTATCCCAACACCAAACCGTTATTTCAATACTTCGTCACGTGTTTCGATCACCAAGTGATGAAGTGGTATTGAAAGGTTGAAATAACGGTTAGGTGTTGGGATAACACTCCAGTAATATTCATTGATGTATATAAATAATGAGTAGATATTGCTTACATGATCACCATCCAGACCCTAAAGGACCCCCATCATCCCAATTATTCTGAAGGCAAATAAACAAAATATCATGATTGCCTTGCTGTTTTTATTTCCCAGAAATTCCAGTTGCAATAGTTACAGTACTTCAAATAAAATCAGAAAAGTTTTATTGTTCTCATTATTTTCTTGCTTTGCAGTTTTTTAGGATATCTGTATCTCCATTCACCAAAAAAATTAGTATGTTCTTTCGTGAGTTGGTGGATGACACTATAAAATTTCGAGAAGAAAACAATATCGTTCGTCCTGATATGATACATTTATTAATGGAATCCAGGAAAGGGATCGAACATAAAGAAGAAAATGTAGACATAGGTACAGGTTTTGCTACAGTTGAAGAAAGTTTTATGGGTGAGTCATTTTCAAATCTGGTGAATTGAATAATGTTTTGAATATCAAACAAGGGAAATACTTCACAACATATCATTTTAATATTGATTTCAGATTCAATGATATTTCTCAACTCCAGGATGATTTCGATCTACCATTGATAAGTTCATTTCCAGATTCCATGCATTTTGTATATAAAAATCTGTTTAAAATCTGTTTTTACGTTAATCAGCTGTCCCCATCAGAGATGTCTAAAGAAGTAGAAATCAATATACAGAACTCGCAGACCAGCAGCGGTTCGTCAGAGGAGGCAAGGGAGGCTTAGCCTCCCCATAAAATTTGAGGCTATCCATCGCAATAAATTAAAAGATATTGACAAATAATTATGATAATTTTTTTCTAAAAGTGCTTGGTTATCATTACTTTACCATTAATTTTCAATATAAATACATAATTGCCCACTACGTAGTACGTACAGTGTGGTACGTACTACGATGCATCTGCATCAACAAAACCCAAGCGCACCGCCCATGAACGAATAACGAATAAACCATCAACCCACAACCGGAAATAATAAATGCCAAACGTTGCAAGGGAGACAAGCCTCCGACCGCTTTAAAAAAAAACACCATCCACGAGACCGATCCAACCAGCGACATACGTCCCGATTTGTAATTTCAGTTGCAGAAATTATAGAGGTAGAGAAGGCTAGCCTCCTGTTGGTCTTCGTTAGTGTACGATTGCGTTTGTTTTCTATTTAATTATTCGTGACGGACCGGGACTGAAAAATATTTCGGTAAATCCTTTTAGTAATTCTTGATAATATCTGTTATTTGTGTATAAAACAGGCAGTATTGTATTATAGCAGTGCTTTTTGGTAATATATTTAATGTGTTTTTAAATTGCAGGACATATCCTGAGGAAATTACGAGTCTTGACGCTAATAATAAAATTCATATTCACTCGTAATTTCCTCAGGACATATCCTGAGGAAATTACGAGTCTTGACGCTAATAATAAAATTCATATAAGTTTAAAAAATGTTGGTGGGATTCAACTAACTAATCATCAATAAAAATTGATACATACCTGATCTGAATAAATATGAAACAATACAAAAAGTTCAACTGCCTTGTTTATTATTATTTTGACATGAACGCGGTAGAGCCAGCAAACAAAATCCAGCAATTTTAGTTTTTTGCGAAAGTCTCAATACTCTGCCATAGATATTCGCAACTTTTGTCAAGTTGTTTTTTAGAAAACAAATCTGTACGAACGAATATTTATAGCAGAATGACAGATTGTAAGATTGCTGATTGAAATGATATTTTATTGATTTGAAATAAAATATCATTTTAACTAACGATTGGATATTAAATTGATCTGTTCTCAGTACATGAAAGTACAACAATATCTTCAAAAAAATGTGTTCTTAAGAATTTTTTTAACATCTTATCACATGATTGTAGGCAAAGGGATTTCTGGAAAGGAGATAACTAATACAGACATAACGGCGCAGGCATTGATTTTCTTTTTTGCTGGTTTCGAACAAGTTTCGTCACTTATGTGCTTCATGGCTCTGGAACTAGCTATACATGATGATGTCCAAACTAGACTCAGGGAAGAAATCAAGAAAACTATAAGTAGTTGTGGAGGAAACCTCACCTACGAGGCCCTAATGAAAATGAAGTACATGGATATGGTTGTTTCAGGTGAGATATTTGATTATCCTCCATAAATTGTATCATTATAACATTCAAAGAGAAGTTATTGAAATTTTTGACAATAGTGCTATGGCCAAACACATTATAAACAGAATATAATGCGATGGTTCAAAAGATTGGTATGATACCAATAATTCTGGAGAAAGGTTTCAATCAACATATTTATTATGAAGAAATTTTAGTTTCAACTTTTTTCATTGTAACATGAGAATCAAATGTAAAGTAAAATACTCAAAATTAAGTTCTGAATCTCTACCTATTCATAGAATTCCAAACGATGAACATTTTTGCATATGACAAAAGGACACTTGTAGCAAAATGAATGAATTTGACAAACAGCATATTAGATCAAAAATATCAAAACGTTCCTTGAGAATGATAGTGAAAATAATGTTCATTCTCAGAAATACAATTATATATACATATTTTCCATTTATTAGAGAGTATAGTTGAATAAACGAACAATATCACGACAGTAATAGAAGTGACTTTTGCTTGATAAAATGAATATGACAGATAATAACAATAAACATATAAAATAATAATAATTAATGATATATTACATTTTTACAATGAGACGTTGAAATATCTTATTTATTAAATAAATAGTTTCGAAATATCGATCAATCAATTTTTAATCATTTAATTTGAGGAAGTATATGTAATTGGATCAAAAGTGAAACTTTCACATATGTATCAACAGTAGGTAGAGCAAAACAAATGAAACAGAAGTATCTAGAAAATATCATGAATATTTGTGGATTAATTCTGTTGTGAAATATTAATTTTCAATTATTTGGTGAATTTCTCTCCGGTTCCTTTGATATACGTATGTTTTCAATTCTCTTTTGAATTTTGATATCGGTTGATATCATGAATTTCATCAGGAAGAGTCTTGAAAGCCCTTCGACCAAAAAATTGATGACTTTCATGGCCTGCTGACTTACTTATCAACGGTTGGACTAATCTGTTTTTTCCTCTGGTAGGAAACGTATGTCCAAGTTGTAAAGGTCAATTTTTTTTGGATACTGCAATATTCAGCTGTTCAAGATATATTTGCCTCAGATCAAACCTTTTTGTCCCGTTACATACTTGATCACTGGAATGTTTTTATACAAGATGGTTTTCTAGAATCTTCTTTGGTATACTTCCATTGTATCAAGGTACGTTCGTGAGACTCCGCTCCACCCGAAAAGAATAACAATGAAAAACATGAATCAATTGGAGTTATTTGGTGATTATCTTTCATCTTTCACTCCAGCTTTCACTGCATTGAAACCAGTGCCTATTACAGTTATGTGAAATACAGAAGACGATATTTATACTTGGCGTTAAAGTAGACCGACTTAAGAAACTTCATATCTGATATTCAATCCTATAGATGTCGTCTGCATCATGGAAGATACCATCATCACCACTACACATACTTTTTGAAGGTTACTTGAGTACTGTCATTCAGTAATGGACTACAATAGAGATGAACTACGATGTCTAACAGGTCATCTTAAAGGTAACTGTCATTTGAATCATCATATACAGAGACTCGGACTGTCAGAAGAGTGTGTGTGTCTCCTCTATTTGGATAATGATGAATCAGCAGAGCAATAATTTGTGCCTGCCCCGCTGGGGACCGAATCAGGTTTTTAGAGTTCGACAGAGCCGTACTCTTACCATCTGACTTGAAAGACCACTCACCATACAAATATCATAATTTTTGTAATCACTTTGACGAACTGTATTTTAATTATTGAGTCGTTAGAGTATATATGCAACTATTAAAACGTTATTACCCAACTTCAGGTTCCAGATAAACAAATTGCATTTGAGCATGTGATGAAGAAAATAATGTATGTTAGAAAAATCAAAAAGCTTTCAAAGATAATTTGTATCGAATACTTATTATATGGTATGAAATATATGTATAAAAACGTATAAAAATTCTTCACGAAAAAATATATTTGAAAGGTGTCTGAAAGTTTACAATGTATTGCAAATATTATAGGAGATCCGAGAACATGTAATGAAATTGAAAAGAAGTGCACGATGATATACAAAGTACGTAACATATTCATTAACTTTCTGTTTAAACGAGATGTGTGGCAGATATCGGAGGTTGATAAACACGATGAACTGGAAGACACTTTTTTGTGAAGGAGTCAATACTTCTGCTGTTCTTCTGAGAATTTAGTATTTTACAAATAAAAAAATGAACAAAGCTGCATCATTAGGAAGTCTGCTGAAGTGTAATACTATACATTTTGAAAATTTCATCCTGAGAAGTTACTGCGTCATATCAACCTCTAAAGAGTTAGTTGTCCAGTAACTTGTAGTATTCATAATTCCACATATACCTACTTAGCTATATGTTTCGAATCTACCTTCCTCACATTCCAAAAAAAATCATCCCACAGACATGCTTAGTCTAAAAACCTTATAGAAAGACGGGTTGAAAATCCAACATAGTACGGGAGGGAGCTGGAAAATATTTTGTAGGAGAACTACTCTACTCGCTCCGTGTTAGAAACCGAAAAAATTGGTGAAAAAAACGTATATACCCTTTAGTGTGTGCCAGGATATTCAGGGCACTTCTATAGGTAATAAAAAAGTTATTACGAGCACTAGACACGAGCAAACCGGCCATCGGATGCCTGCTTCCACGTAGCCCCGCTGGATACCACAAGTGATTCTGTTATTCCCTAACTGAATGGCATTCCAACGATGACTCAATCCTAAGTTGTGTGCCGGGCGCCCTCTCGTCGTAGCATCGCCTTGTCACGGTAATGTGGGGCTCTGCTCTGATTGACCTTCTTGTCCTAGCTACTCGTGGGACTTTTATGGACAGAGTGAGCTTAAAAATTCTTTCTGACGCTGAGTCTATAGAGGAGATGAATGTCGAGCTTACGACTCCAATTGACCTCCCAGTAAACTTAGATCAGGAGCAAGTCTGCAGAGGAGATATATGTCTAGTTTACGACTCCAACTGACCGTCCTATAAATTTAGTTCAGGAGCCAGTCTACAGAGGAGATGGATGTCGAGTTTACGACTCCAACTGACCTCCCTGTAAATTTAATTCAGGAGCGAGTCTACAGAGGAGATGGATGTCGAGTTTACGACTCCAACTGACCTCCCTGTAAATTTAGTTCAGGAGCGAGTCTACAGAGGAGATGGATGTCGAATTTACGACTCCAACTGACCTCCCTGTAAATTTAGTTCGAGAGCGAGAGCTTCTCAACTCCCCAACTCCTGACCCAATAACTGTACCTAAAAAATGTTTGGTGGTGCAGCCAAGAAATGACTGAATCATCTCTTCAAGAGCGGGGTACTTTATAAAACCACTTGACACCAAAATCTTGAGCGTGCGTACGCAGAATCTGTCTCAGGTGGGGGACCAAACCCCCTCATGAGCAGGTTAGCTAACGTTTGCGCTAAAGTGATGATTTACCAAAACCAGAGGCGAAAAAGCCTTGCAACTTTGAATTTTAAGGCATCGTCAGGTGTGGCTGATGTGCAAAAACCCTCATATGGGAAGGTTGTACCTGGTATCAAAGTGGGAATCTTGCACCTTGACTATCCGACCACCTCATTAACGATGGAATAGCAGAACATATACTTTGTGCTTGCCCCGCTGGGTATTGAATCAGGTTTTTTAGAGTTCAGCAGAGCAGTTCTCTTACCATCTGACCTGAAAGACCACTCACTATACAAACTATTCGGCGTCGTTAAGAAGCTGAGTTTATTTGGACCCTTACGGGTTGCAGTGGTGAGTCGAATAGACCCACTCACCTTGGACCTAACTTAACCTAAATGTCATTCATCGTCACCCGAAGTTCGATAATTCATTTTTGTGAATTTGAACGTCTGTTCTTACAATCATGCAATTATTATCTAACATCGCCTATGAATCTAATGTTTACCTATCAAACAGTATATCAGTATTGGAATACTAGAATAATATTGTGACTGGTTTGAGAATGTCGTAAAAAACTGAAGGAACTGGTGGAGTGGGAGGACATATTGAGCTTGTACTAGTATTGAAATCCAAGAGTGGCATCAAAAGTAGTCTAGGAATGCCATGAAGAACTGAACAAACTGGCAGAATGACATAGGTTGACTTCATACCAAGTGTCTCATCACTCGGAGATTACAGGCAACGTAAAAGCTAATAAATGTGTTAGATATTCATCAACTTCATATATTGGTACTGAATCAGCTGTGAATAGCAAAATCTGTGAAAGCGGTCCAAATCAGGAAATGCCATACGAAAAAACTTTTATTGAAGAACCACCTGGCTAACACCACGCTGTGGTATGAGTAGTTATTTTTGGCAGTCATTTCCTACTGCGTTGAAAGTTTGGGAGTGGTGATTGTTTCGAATTTCCATTCAAAATAGTCATTTTCCCAATATTTTCCCTTGACAAAGTCATCAGTCTGACTACGATTTTTGATCTAATAGCTACCAATGACGGCTCTCACTGGTTTAGAATGAAATTTATTCCGTAGAAAGTATCCGTGTTATTTCTCATTTAATTCAAATGAGAAATTATCGGGACAAGTCAATTTCATGAATATCTGGTAGTTATCAAAAAGTTTTCTCATGTGTTTATGATGAATAAATGGTGATTTGAATAGTAACGATTTGTATAATAACATTTTTCAGAAACCCTCAGAAAATGGCCCACTACTGTACTGACAGATAGAATATGCACGAAAGCTTACATCATAGAACCACAGAATCCAGGTGAACAGCCATTACATTTGGAAAGAAACGCTAACATTACCATTCCAATGTTTGCAATACATCGGGACCCAAAATACTATCCAGATCCGGACCGTTTTGATCCAGAAAGATTTAATGATGAAAATAAATTAAAAATCAACCCCTATACTTATGCGCCGTTTGGATTTGGACCTCGTAACTGTATCGGTTCCAGATTTGCTCTTCTAGAAACGAAATTGATATTTTTCCATCTTCTCAGCCATTTTGAACTCGTTCCAGTAAAGAAAACTTGCACACCTTTGAGAGCATCCAAGAAAAGTTTCAATTTGGTTGCTGACGGAGGTTTTTGGGTGGGCATGAGAAAGTTGACAAAGTCAATGAAGTCAACTTTATCAACTCATACATAGTTGTATTATTCCATTTCATCTAATAATGAAAGCCATATAATAAATGATTTCAAGATACTGAGAAAAAAACAAATGGTGTTTTATTTTACTATTTGATTGCAAAAATGAGGTGAGTGAATCACCAAATACAATCATATAACAAAAGAAGTATTCTTCATAATAGCATATTCCTGTAATTAAAAACATTGATAAGCTTGTAATGATTCATTATATGGTAACGTGAAAATTTCAAATATGAATATTCAAAGCATCCCTAGCAACATTTCAAAAATGTATCAGAATTATCATTTGGCGTTCACAAAATATTTGTTTGCAAACTACAATTGGGTTGAAAGTAACCAGGTTCAATTTAATGCCACAAAAACCGAGGTATCGGTTTTCTCCAAGAAGATGAATGTCTTCGATCTGGATAAAATATTGTCAGGTCAGATAACTCCACCATCTACTTCGATAAGTTTGTTGAGGGTTGAAATGGACGCCAATATATTTTGGCACGATCATGTCACTGAAATTGTAAAGGCTGTTTCTCAAAATCTTGGAACACTGTTCCGAACCAGAAAACTCTACACATCTTAACAACTTTTGATGCTTCATAAAGCTCAGATCAAACCTACTTTTGAGCATTATTCTCATGTATAGAGCTCCGCCCCCAAATCCACCCTGAAGTTGCTGAATTCCATCCAGAAAAGAGCCATCCGCCACGTGCAACCTTGATAGTCTGGAACATCGAAGAAAGGTTGGAGATTTGTCTTTCACACTATAGATACTTTCACAGGAAGCGTTCAAGTGACTTGGTACATTTGATTCCACCAAGAGCGGTACATATCAGAAATACGCGACGGACTGTGGCTGCTCATCGTCTACAGGTTCAACTCAGTATACCTCGACCTTCACTGTTTAAAAACTCTTTCATCTGGAGAATTGCGTTTATGTGGAATAAACTTCCTGAGAACGTTTTTCCAAGTGGATGTAATCTCCAGCGATTCAATTCCAATGTCAATCACTACTTTCGCACAGGCACCGATATCAGAGTACCTAAAGATTTTTCTGTAGTGTTTTGTCCTTGAAAAAATTATGATGAAAAACCTATGCTCAATGTGATTTCGTGAATATAAACATTCGGGATACAGCATTTGTGTATGGTCGGATGGGCGGACGATAGTCGGTTGGGTTGGCGTGAGAAGTTTGTTCCACTCATTCAACAGTCAGGTAAAGCCGTGGTTCGAGCCGCGAGGCCATACGATCCATTTTCACTACCTATCGCCCAACCCGTGCTAGGAATCGCAGGTTGAAAGGTATAATCTTGTTAATCCTTAGTTCACACAAGTTTCTACTTCTGAGAAATATTATTCATAGGGAGGTGACCGCAGGTTAATGGAAAGACATATTTTGACCAACTTTTTTCAAAGATATGATTTTTGCACATTACTGGAAAAGATATTCAGATGTAATGTCCTTCTTATATACCGCTTTCTCATAACACTTGTATTATGAGTAAAACAAGCAACTATTATATTCACGATGAAAAGAGAAATGAAAATTTCTATGTTTTTTATTTCTCTTTTCATCATGATCTCCTACCACATAGTAACGGCTGCATCCATCAATTTATTGTATTCACGTTTACTAGCTCTTGTTTTTTTGAAGCCCTTTCGACAAATTTCTTAGTTGTGCCGTTTATAACCACTAATTATGTCGTTTATAACCATTATTTTATTTAATTGTTATTTGATAGAATTCATTAAATTGTTATTCAATAAGAATTAATCAACAAAATCAGCAAGTTCTATGAATTCTGACAAATAACAATTTCGAATCATTCTATATTATGGCGGTGAAATTTTTTGAGTCAGTCATATACAAATGAGTTATTAGAGAACATAAGTTTTCACGGCTGAAGTCACGATTAAAGACAACAAAATCGTGGTTATTGGACCGTGGTCGAATGGAACCCGAAGTATCAAACGTTTCATCCGCTACTGCGGCGTATATCATCAGAGATATGTGCGATGACTGCGAATCCAAACCTTCTGAAATCATAAATACAAGTCATTGATGATGTCTGCCGCAGTAGCAGAAGAAACGAATTTTGTTGTCTTCTTAAATGATCAGTTTATAGTGATCGCCTGAATCATATCAATAGCCCTCTGGCAAATATTCTGAAATAAGTCGATTTATATTTTGAAATGAAATTCAATCTAAAATTTATTGAAACCAGTTCTTTTTATAATTCAGGGAAAACTTGAAAACTTGGAAGTCTACCAATTTACCATGGAAAACTCGATAGTATGGTTACAAGAACATACTTTTATTTGGACGTTAGTATTGTTGAAGTTCGCAAAACTATTGTCAAAGGCTAGTGTAAATTCATGACTTATAAATGTCAGCTATAGGTCTAGTATCAAATATTCTTCAGAAAAATATTGACCGTTCTCTTTGTCACAGGTGAAACGAATTTAGTTGTCTCCAAAAGAGTTATTGTTGTTAGGCGAAGTTTCATCTTTTGAAAAGAGCACGATTTCTGGGTGATAATCGTAGTGACATTCCTGAAGGTAGTATCAGTTACGCAAAGTGGCATTTACTTAGATGTTCCACTCAATATTTTCCTATCTTAACAAACATATATATGAAAGGCGTTAAGGAGACGCTTAGATTCTCTTATACCCCACAGATCTCAATAACGTATGACTAAGCCAATGAACAATTATTCCGAATTGATTCAAATGGATGAAAGATAAAAAACAATACATGTTCCGTAACTAGTGACGGACTGAGTGAAATATTCGTTATGGAAAACACCTTGACAACTGCTATAATCCGGACGCACTTATACCAAAACAAAAAAAAAACAATTCTATCGAAATAAACTTAATAATTCAGAAAATGCCACAGGAAGAGCGTGGCAAATCGTGGACGCCTTGAATAAAAAAAAATGAAAACGAACTGAAATCACTCTAATTGATAAAGAAGTCTCTGTAGGAAATCAGAAAGAGGTTGTGGAACTTTTCAATACATTTTTTAAATCTATACACCTTATGACACTATTCGTAAATAACAATGAACATCTTGGACTCCAGTGAATACCTTCATTTCTCTAAAACAAGAATAGTTTCGTTTTTTCTCGATTCGTATTCTGAATTAGAATTACTTGACATATTACAGCTGAAACTGAAAAATAAATCTTCTTGCGAGTATGACAAGGTCTCTATGTTTGTGATGAAAAAATCCCTGCCATTTCTTATTTTTCCTCTCACACATACCAATCATCAATTTATCTCTCCAAACCGGAATATTTCCAGATCTTCTTTTAACTGGAAAACTGTTGCGCAGCTTGTAAAAAACTATCGAACAATCACAGAGTCCTCCAACTTTACAAAAATATTTGAGTATGCATTTCTCAACAGGTAATTAGAATACTGCATTAGATTAAATATTTTCTTCAATGATCAGCGCGGATTCCCTAATGAAAAATCAAAGATAACAGCAGTTGACTCGTATTATGAGAAACTGGTGAACTTAATAGATATGGGTGAGTGTCCTGTTCGGATCTTTTCTGATCTCAGCAGAGCATTTAGCTGTGTTGATCATGGTATTCTACTGGATAAACTTCAGAGATATGTAATAAGGGGCATTCCCCACCATTGGCTGCATAGCTTTCTCGATTCAAGAAGCCAGTACGTTTCTATCGACAAAATTGTGCCTACAAAATGAACAGTCACATTTGTGTAGTTCAAGGCTCAGTTATGAGACCTACTCTTTTTATATTACACCTGAATGATTTCGATGACCTACTCGTTCAGTCTTTTTTCACTATGAATGCAGATGATTTTTCACTGATCAATTCAAAAAAAACAAACAAACTTCTGTTAGATAAATGCAATGAGACTTTCTCGTATGTAAAGGATTGGTTCAGTGCAAGCCTCCTTCACCTGAATATGAACAAAACAAAATCCATTAGATTCCATAATCGTCAGAAAAGCTGTTTCGATGCGATAATATCAACAGAAACTTTCGTTAATGTAGAAATTGTTCAACAAGTCATGTTTTTAGGCCTTGAAGTGGATGAGGGTCTTGCATGGAACAATCACTGTCGAACACTACAATCCAAATTGAACTCCTACCCATATCAATTCAGAAGTCTCAAAGTCGTCTTCAACGAGGAACAACTCCTAAAATTATATTATGCTCAAATTGATTCCAGACTAAGATACGGGGTGCGCATCTGAGGCCTATTCATCTCATCATCAGATGTTTTCATTGCGCAGAAGCGCATTATTCGTACTATAGTTGCAGTTTCAAAACACTCATCCTGAAGAGATCACTTCAAGAATCTAAAAATCTTTACGCTTCCACCATTGTTAATTTTTGAATTCTGCATATACGTACAAAACAATCATGGTAACTCCACACCAAACAACTCCAGATACGAATACAAAGCACGCGAACAAAACCATTTTTATATTTCTTTCAGTGGAAAAAAAAAATTGTAATTCTACTAGATCAATAGCTCTCCGGATCTACAATTCATTACCTGACAAACTTAAAATGTTATCTGCTCATTCATTTCTTTGTTTTTCTGATGTAATTGTTCAGTCTTAACTTATTTGTGTGTTCAATTCTATTTTATTTTACTAACTTGTATTGAAGAATCCAGTACAATTTTTAGTTGCCACCTAATATGTCAAAATTTGTTGTTTATCACTATTATTCCTAAGTTAGTTATGTATCTTAAAAATATCTTGGCAAAAGCCTGTTACAAAAATCATACAATTATTTTTTCATTAAATATTATTATAAATTATGATTACTGTGACAAGGAATATGAAATGAATTCATTTGAAAGTGGATTCAATTCACGAGAGATAAAATGTTATGATATTTTAAGGATATGGAATTGTTGTTCACAACTTCCATCGAAACGTGAATAATCGTAATAAAAATCGTATTTTTTTTTTTCAAATCGAAATAATGTTTGTTAATAGGTAATATCAAAATATCAATGTCATAGGAATATTCCATTTTCAAAATAAGCATTGGTCTATTTAATCAGAATGTCTTACATACGATCCACAA